CTCCCCATCCTACCTGCATCCTGTAACACCTGGCTCCCCATCCTACCTGCATCCTGTAACACCTGGCTCCCCATCCTACCTGCATCCTGTAACACCTGGCTCCCCATCCTACCTGCATCCTGTAACACCTGGCTCCCCATCCTACCTGCATCCTGTAACACCTGGCTCCCCATCCTACCTGCATCCCCATCCTGGCTCCCCCCATCCTACCTGCATCCTGTAACACCTGGCTCCCCATCCTACCTGCATCCTGTAACACCTGGCTCCCCATCCTACCTGCATCCTGTAACACCTGGCTCCCCATCCTACCTGCATCCTGTAACACCTGGCTCCCCCATCCTACCTGCATCTGTAACACCTGGCTCCCCATCCTACCTGCATCCTGTAACACCTGGCTCCCCATCCTACCTGCATCCTGTAACACCTGGCTCCCCATCCTACCTGCATCCTGTAACACCTGGCTCCCCATCCTACCTGCATCCTGTAACACCTGGCTCCCCATCCTACCTGCATCCTGTAACACCTGGCTCCCCATCCTACCTGCATCCTGTAACACCTGGCTCCCCATCCTACCTGCATCCTGTAACTGTAACACCTGGCTGGCTCCCCATCCTACCTGCATCCTGTAACACCTGGCTCCCCATCCTACCTGCATCCTGTAACACCTGGCTCCCCATCCTACCTGCATCCTGTAACACCTGGCTCCCCATCCTACCTGCATCCTGTAACACCTGGCTCCCCATCCTACCTGCATCCTGTAACACCTGGCTCCCCATCCTACCTGCATCTGTAACACCTGGCTCCCCATCCTACCTGCATCCTGTAACACCTGGCTCCCCATCCTACCTGCATCCTGTAACACCTGGCTCCCCATCCTACCTCATCCTACCTGCAACACCTGGCTCCCCATCCTACCTGCACACACTGGCTCCCCATCCTACCTGCATCCTGTAACACCTGGCTCCCCATCCTACCTGCATCCTGTAACACCTGGCTCCCCCTATCCCTGCTGCATCCTGTAACACCCTGGCTCCCCATCCTACCTGCATCCTGTAACACCTGGCTCCCCATCCTACCTGCATCCTGTAACACCTGGCTCCCCATCCTACCTGCATCCTGTAACACCTGGCCTGGCTCCCCATCCCATCCTGGCCTGCACCTGTAACACCTGGCTCCCCATCCTACCTGCATCTGTAACACCTGGCTCCCCATCCTGTAACACCTGGCTCCCCATCCTACCTGCATCCTGTAACACCTGGCCCCCCATCCTACCTGCATCCTGTAACACCTGGCTCCCCATCCTACCTGCATCCTGTAACACCTGGCTCCCCATCCTACCTGCATCCTGTAACACCTGGCCCCCCATCCTACCTGCATCCTGTAACACCTGGCTCCCCATCCTACCTGCATCTGTAACACCTGGCTCCCCATCCTACCTGCATCCTGTAACACCTGGCTCCCCATCCTACCTGCATCCTGTAACACCTGGCTCCCCCATCCTACCTGCATCCTGTAACACCTGGCCCCCCCATCCATCTGCTTACTGCCTGCATCCTGTAACACCTGGCCCCCATCCTACCTGCATCCTGTAACACCTGGCCCCCCATCCTACCTGCATCCTGTAACAACTGGGCCAGTTTGCGCTGTTGCCATATGGGGAACAAGATGTCGGTCTGGATGCCAATGACCATCGCTGGACAGGTCACTTGAGATAGCCCCACCTCTAATGAATCAAAGCCCTCAGACACATCAAACAGATCCATTGCCTGAAATGAACCATACAATTGTGACTTGATATCAGTTTGATTGGTACATATATACTGAAGAAATTAAGTAGCAGTTTATGTTTGAGCAGCTTGTTACAATGATTACTCCCGATGGCTGACGTTATGAACAACTGAAACAACTATGAAAGTTTGTCAACTCTTGAGTGAGTGAGTGCTTAATGGGAAATGGGCTTAACACACTGTACTCATGTACGGAATCGAACCAGGGTCTTCATCGTAATCAGCTAGTCATGAATATTCCAGGACGACCAGAGAGGAACCATTATCCACCAATACACCCCTATTACACAGTTCACTCTATAAACCACTGCTATTCTTCATGTCCTAAGCAGGCTCAAACTGTATCCCCTACATACAAGTACCAACCTTCGAGATATACAGGAGAGAATTAGGGTCGAACTTGTTGCTGAAGCTTTCTCCCTGATGCTCCAGGTAGCTTTCTATGTGGAACGTGGGACACAGAGACGGGGGATCTCTGTCGTTGATACGACCACGCCCAAACCTCTGGTCCCACTCGGGACCACTGCGATAGGTCAGGGTGGCAATTTCCCTGAGAAAATAACACACCACAAAGTTAAGCTATTGCAAAAATTATGTCACTGAATCATAAAAATATCAAAACAGGTATCAGTGTTGTGATACTTATTATGATATATATCGGCTGCTCAATATTATGATGTCAAAGTCTGCATGGTCGTCACTGCAAGAAAAAAACTACTGCATTTCAATTATGAAGGCAAGCATTATTTAAGAATAAATTTCCAAGTGAATTATATACTAAACTATAACAAATAACCAAACTTGTCATATTTTTTTAACCAAAAGATACCGGAATACGGTAAAGATATTGCTACATGTATTGTTTGAAAAGCTTATTGCAGTATACCTGTAACAGGATCTGAGTAAGCACAACACTGTTTTTGGTGTTCATGATTTTGACGTCATTCTCGCCACCATTGTAAATTATTTCAAAAACCAAGCTTTCTTATGGTCATGGCTGTTGCTCACCTGGCCAGTTTCATGCCAATCTTGGGGAAATCTCCGTCGTAGTAGTGACCTTTGTTCCAGTTATGGTCACTCATGATGCACTTCCGCTGGAGGTAGCGGAGTGCGATGGCCGAGGGATGGGACTGAGCGCAGGACGATATCGAAATCAACCTGACCAACATACAAACATGGCTGTCAAACATTCTGACTTTCTACATGTGCACTTTAGTTAAAACATGACATTCAATAAAATATTTAAACATTAACAAGAAGACAATGTCATCAATATCCCCCGCAATGGCAAAATACTCTTCATGAATATGTCTACGAGTTATGATTATGTCAAATGTTTTGGTGTGTATATAGAAAAGTGGAAGGAGAGTATTGAAAGGTTTTAAAAGAAAGGAGCACTACCACCAGTTTCAGTCTAAGTCGAACTTGTTTGGTGAAGAAATATTGAATGGTTCTGCTCCGGAAAAGAACACTACCACCAATTTCACTCAAAGTCAACTTTGTTGCCATGGAAATGCAAAAAATATCATGATCAAAAATCCAAAAGTACCAAAAGGCACCAGTACACCACCAGGCCTATCTATGTGCCACATTGGATGAAGAAATAGTGATCAGTTTTAAAGCCTTGCTCCGGAAAAGAGCACAACCACCAAATTCAGTCGAAGTCAAACTTGTTCCCACGGAAACACAAAAAAAAATTTCTTCCAAAATACAAAACTACCAAAAGGCACCAGTATATCACCAGACCTATCTATGTGCCAAGTTTGGTGAAGAAATATTGAACGGTTTTAAAGTTCTGCTCCGGAAAAGTGCACTACCACCAATTTCAGTCAAAACAAGAAGACAAAGTCATCAATATCCCCCGCAATGGCAAAATACTCTTCATGATTATGTCTACGAGTTATGATTATGTCAAATATTTAGGTGTGTATATAGAAAAGCGGAAGGAGAGTATTGAAAGGTTTTTAAAGTTCTGATCCAGAAAGCAGCACTATCCCCAATTTCAAGCTAAGTCAAACTTGTTGCCATGGAAACGCCAAAAATATTTTAGTCAGAATTCCAAAACTACCAAAAGGCACCAGTACACCACCAGATCTATCTATGTGCCAAGTTTGGTGAAGACTTATTGAACGGTTTTAGAGTTCTGCTCCGGAAAAGAGCACTACCACTAATTTCAGTCTAAGTCGAATTTGTTGCCATGGAAACGCCAAAAATATTTAATTCAGAATTCCTAAACTACCAAAAGGCACCCAGTACACCACCAGATCCATGTATGTGCCAAGTTTGGTGAAGAAATATTGAATGGTTTAAGAGTTCTGCTCCGGAAAAGACAAATGTGCACGGACGGACGGACGTGCGGTCGGAGTCCATTTTAATACCCCCCGTAAAACGCGTTGGGGGATAATCAAACTTGTTGCCATGGAAACGCAAAAAATATAATAATCAGAATCCAAAACTACCAAAAGGCACCAGTACACCACCAGACCTATCTATGTGCCAAGTTTGGTGAAGAAATATTGAACGGTTTAAAAGTTCTGCTCCGGAAATTATAGGTGCACGGACGGACGGAGTGCATTTTAATACCCCCCGCAAAACGCGTTGTGGGCAATAAAAATGGATTTTCGTCTATGACAGAGAGGTCATACACCTTTAAAGATAAGGGGGCATAACTCCGCTATGCTTAACACTAGGTCAGTGTAACTCAGATTACTTGGCCCGCCGTGATGTTGCTGGAATATTGCTGAAAGCCGCGTAAAACCAAACTCAGTCAGTCAGTCAGATTACTTGGAGAGAATTTGTTGTGGATACAGACGCTATATGTTCGTTATGTTTTGTTCACGGTGAACCAAACTATTCCAATTCAAAGTTCCCCAATGTGAGCGGATACGTTTTAGTAGTTTCATAATTTATAAGAAAAGATGACAAAGTACTACATGGGAAAGCATGTAATAGTGATTTGGATGGCCCTATCCGATATATAAGTTAGTTCTTAGATTCCCATATTCTCCTGTTTGTGTAGATGTATTTTGACTAATTTTGCATCATTATTAAGGGAGAACTAGCCATATCTTCAAATGTTAAAGGGCCGGTGGGGTAGCCTAGTGGTTAAAGCGTTGGCTCATCACGCCGAAGACCCGGGTTCGATTCCCCACATGGGCACAATGTGTTAAGCCCATTTCTGGTGTCCCCCGCCGTGATATTGCTGGAATATTGCTAAAAGCGGCGTAAAACTAAACTCAGTCAGTCAGTCAGTCAAATGTTAAGAAATTACTGAAAATATTATAACATTTTAGTTGATGTCATTGCTTGTTTTATGCATTTTGCGACGTCGGAAAAAGACGACATTGGTATGTTGATTAGTATATATCTCACCTAATTTCCATTAATTGTACAAAAGGTCTCGGCTTCTACGTCAGACTTTAACACAAATGAATAAAATGAATGATTTTACCAATTAAATAGTGTCCTGAACACATCAACAATTAGACGGTTTGACTGCGCATCTTATTGTGAGCAACACGCACACCTGTTTGGCATTAATTTAACGTAAATGAAAAAATAATATTTCACAACACCCTAATATCTTTTAAGGATAAGAATTTTGTTTGTTTATGATTATGTAGCTATTTCTCTTCATAAGTCAGCACTGAAAGATGCAAAAAGATAGCTTTTTGTATAGAACTATTAGAAAATGCATGTAAGGTTTGTCCAAATTAATACATGACATATACATGTTTATATATTTTAAAGCAATTTTCATATAAATATAGTTAGAGTTTGATATCCTGTCATCACAATATTTTTAAATCAAATATGAATTGATTATATTATCGAAAACAATGATAGTGAATCACAAAACGTTTCGGACAAACGCGCACCTGGCCAATCAATATACATCATGGTTTTGTCTATAAAACGCCAGAAACAAATTCAATGAACAAGAAAATTCCTTTAAATATGTGTGCATATACTTTTCATAAAATGTATAAATCATTTCCATTAATATTATCACTTTTACTTATAAGGTTGAATTAAATCGCTGTTCATTAACCTGTACATATGAAACTGCAATATTAGTCCCAATGTATTGAATATTGTACATCATAGGAACTAAAGAACATGTTGCAGTTATGGCTACGAGTGTGATCTTCTAACACTTGTGTAGAGGTTTAAAATATGGTGTACTACACAAAATGTGTCAATTTCTAATGTAAATATTATTCAAACAATCAAAACTTTTCAAATAATAAAAACGAATACCCTATATCCACGTATGATATGATATTGACCAAGGATAAATGTAGATACTGAAAACAGTTTCATGAAAAAGTGTCTGAACTATCCGCAAAATATACATCATAATACTGAAAGTGTAATCGGAAGGATAGGGCGATTGTGTTTACTCTTGTTCAACCAACCTTCACCTCTAAGAAATTGCCTAATATGTACAACAATGTTGACGTATGACATCACGATCGATTTCTTACAAAATGGCGGCTTTGCTGACAAGGGTACACAGGATTTTGCGAGGACTCTTCCCTTGATTCCCTTGAATCTGACTGTCTGTGTATTGTTATATGTTTTTATGTTTTTATCATTCTCGTTGTAAGTAAGAGAATATGCCAGATATGTTGATAATTACCGTTGACAATTTGCGTGATTTTGCGTCAGTCATGGCGTCACGCTGCACGGAATCTTTGACAATTTCTTATGAATTATCAAATCATTGCATTGTTTCCAATTTTAAATTGCTATTTCTCGCTATGATACTCTCTCCATGGATATTTTAAAGGTATTGAGCTATTGCAAGCAATGCATAGACGGCTGGATGTCGGAAAATTTCAGAAAATGCTACGCAGTGTAAAATCAGAATCTTTCTTTGTTTACATTTCAAACAAGCGCAGTCTTTCGAGCACAGCATTCGTTTTCACACCCATTATGTTTCGTCTCATTTTATCTAGACAGTTGGTATTGGTGACAAAGACCATTTGTAATTTGATTCTAAAATGTATGGGAATTCAGTGATGCATTTTTCGCAGTTGAATATGAAATGTACGTGATGTAATCGGCGTCTCAATAATGGCCTTTGCGAAACGTGATTTTGTAAACACTATCCAATATGGCGGAAAGCGCATTTCGGCGTTCGTGTAAGTGTATTTTCGAAAACATCCCAACCGATTCAGGGCTCATCGGCAACGTTTCAGAATTATCATTTGTGATTTGATGAAAAACTGATATCAGTGATCATTAATATGCTATTTTTGAAATTCAATACTCCCAGTAATTATCCGATTTTGACATTTCAAAACATACAGCAAATAACGCTGTAGATCACGATTTCATATTGTGTCAAAAATGGCGACATTTACGATGAAACCTATTTTGAAAGGTTATTTAAACCACTTTAGCTTTGTCTGAGATAATAGTGGATGGTATCAAGAAACAGGGAATTTCCGTAGAGAATTCAAAACTGTGAAGTATATTTGTGTGCGTAATATATTTAGAATTTTATTGGACTTCAAAGTGAGGATTGAAGAGGAAGGACATATATGTACCTGTGGCACCCAGGGAGTTAAGGATACTGGACACCACTCTTCAACTAAAAATACCTACTCAACCACACCGACCCAAAACCCTACCCCTGCCTGACATGTAAACAGTTAAAATGGCTGCCCAGTTCAGGCACAATATTGTCATCTGTTCGATGGAATCTGAGCAGGTTCCCACTCAGTACCAGCTTTTATTTTCTTTGCTTGTTGAAGATACGTGTGTATTCATGGTTGAAGGAACATGGTGCACACAAAACTTGGACAGAACTGAAAATGAATCTTGCTGGAAAACTCTATCTGACCTTGAAACAATGTGCAGAGTAAAGATGGTCGCCCGATTCAGGCACAATATTGCCGTCTGCTCAACAGAATCTGAGCAAGTTCCCTCTGAGTACCAGGATTCGTTTCTTAGTTAAAAATAATTACTAACTGACAAACATCCATTTGTTTTCGGGTGGCAAAGGAACACAGTAAATTCAAACTTGGAAAGTATACACGATGAATCTTACTAGATTCTACTGACCTTCCCACTCTCTCGGGATACAAGACGGTATTGAGGAGAGAACACATCCCGCCCAGAGAGGAGCCCACAGAGGCGTGCAACTGAAGCAGGGAGGCAGAATATCGGTAAAATACATCTTGGTGTAAGAAATGTTGGGACAACAATTTCTTAGTGAAAAACAAAACTTGTACTTTTGGGTTGTCTCATCTTTGACCCACACTCTCAGCACAAAGTTTGTGAACTAGACTACAAGTTTTCAGACTTGAATTTGTGTAGCTGAGAGGGTTCCATCGTTGACCTCAAGTGTTGATGCCTCAATCTGAGTGTGGTTTACCATGTAGGAATCAACCCCAAAAGCACTAGAATCTGTATTATCCCAAATATTCTATATGATATATTTCACATCTTTCTAGACGGCATTGTAATTCACAGCATCAGCATTTTACTGGTGATGAGGAGAATTAACAGTAAAGGAAAAACAAAATGCTAATACTTGTTAGAAGATGTTAAGTATACTGAAAAACAATAAAAACTTATCATCAACTTTTAACTGGAAATCAACTTATTTCTATTAGGGCTGCGCAATATAACTGGTTTACCAGACATGAAAACGATACGTATTGCGATACGCTGATCGAAAACCGGTATTTTGACTTGCATTCGGAAAACTTCGTAACACTCGGAAATCTTTGGATATTTCCTTTTTTCATTTGTGCCAAATATTATTCACACTTTTATTTTTAATCATGAATAAAAGTTGCTATTAAAGCTTAATCAAGCATAGTGATTTTGCTGTGTATTTGCTCTATAAATCAAGCATTACCTCGATTATAAGTAGTTTTTTGTGTAAAAATACTTCACGCAATATATTGCAATACATATCGCAATACATGCTTTTGCATCGCAATATATCGCAATATGAAAATTCTCTGCAATACCCACCCCTAATTTCCATAATCAATGAATGAGATTTGAACCTTGTTGTTTTTGTTACACTCAGGATGCCGAGTCTGTCAACTCACCTTCTGGATGCCAAGATGGTCTATTAGAAGCATCTGAGCGTTGACCATATCCTCTACGCTGACAATGGGGAATGTTGTTCCGTACGGCTGCAAGGACAAAACTGGCCATTACGAATGTGTAGAAATAATGCAAATAAATGTCATTAAACAATGTTGATACTGACATTATATCAGTACATGACCTGATTAAATTAGGCTCAATATCCATTAGCTAAATACTTGCTCCTGACTGGTACTGCATCAACGTTGTCACAAAACATTCTTCCAAATATTCCATTACCGTTTCCATGGTAACTATGATAGATGTGGCAAGTTTGATCCCTAAGAACCAGTTCAATCACAAAAACTATTTTCTGAAATATCAACAGTCTTCTTGCCTGAAGATGTTGTACAAGCAATGCTTAATTATCTTCTTTAGGAAACTGTCTAGTTTGGGAATCCAGAATAGCAGGGCTCGATTTAAGAGATGTTAACCTACTTGCACCAGGTGCAACCTAAGATACAAACCTAGTTGCACCAGCCAAGTTCCAGTTGCAATGTAGTGTGTTATGAGATCTCGGTGCACATAAACATGTTTCTGTGATGTAGTACCTATGAAACCATAGCAACACAGAGACGCAGCTGATCCCTGTTTACAAGAGCTGTCATAGCCGAAACGTGTCTGTATATAGCAATGTTTCGGTGCTACAGCTATTCAAAATTTAGAAAAAAAATGAGCTGACATACTCATGCTATTAATGTTAGATTTATTGTTGATTTATTTCTCAAAAAATGACTTACACATGGTGCACATTTGACTAATAACTAGGTTGCACTTTGTAATATTGGGTTGCACCAGTGCAAGTAACAAAGCACTAAATCGAGCCCTGAAAATACTAAATTTCCATGAGTAATGAGTTTCAGCAAACTCCTACAGACTGTTGAAATCTGTAAGGAATATCCACAGGTCATTATTTATTAAACTTGTTCACCAAATTTAAGATAATGTGTGGTCATGAAGAATGTCAAAAGAGGAGGAGTGGTCAAATATGAAACAGCCCTGAGACAAGTCCCACTACTGTTTCCCACAATACATGACCAGTCCCTCAGTCCCCACAGAAGACTTGACACTAGATATCACTTGCCTTATCCGTGACTGGATTCACTGATGATGGGCCCCTGCAATGGAAAATCCAATA